AAGATCTTGTTGACGAGGCCATCGCACGGCTGGAGCTTGGGAGTCAGGCCTCCCGGGATGAGAAACAGCGTCGTGTTGGACTCCGCCATCGCCTTGGTAGACGCGTCCGTCTTGTGGACGGTGTAGTCGTCCCACGCCAGCAGCGTGTCAGGCTGACGGTAGCCGCCCAGGCGACCCTGCCGCCCCGGGCGCTGGTTCCACACCTGAGGCAGCCAGACCTCGTTGAACACCCGCTGGGAGTGCCATGCCTTTGGGTCCACGGCGTAGACGACACCTCGAGGGTATGCGTAGCCCTTCTTGTCCTTGTAGTCCTTGAACTCGCGCTCGATGCTGTTGGCGGCAGGGGCCTTCCCCTTCGGCGTGGGCTGGCCCTTGAAGATGACGAGGGGCGGCAGCTTGCTGCCGTCGGCGAACACCGTCAGGACCGAAGTGATGCGCATCTTCTCCTTGCCGCCGGTTTTGACGCCAACCTCCTTGTCGCCGGTGCGCTGCGGGATTCCATAGAGCAGCGAAAAGCTGGCGCCGATGCTGGAGCTGGCGCCGGTGCTGCTCCTGATGGCGGCGCTCCGGGCGTTGAGCCCGCCCTACAAAAGACAAGAGTAGACATCATGTGCGGGATGGAAAGAAGCGGTCAATGTTTGAACGCACGAAAACATGTGTCGTGTGGGTAAAAACCAAAGATTCCTTTGATAAAGTGCTGGCTGACTTTTGTAGTCGAAAGGATACCGTTTCCAATTCTCCAAATACCGTTTGCGGTTGAAAGTACCTTGAGGGTGAACAAAAAATTGCAAAACAGGCACGGATGCACCATCTAGGTACCGGTAAATCAGCGGCAACAATGCTGCGACAATTACAATTAATATAATTTTTACCATTCGTGGGTGAATTAAACACATGTGCAGAGCAGAGAACAACAACTGGAAAATTCCTCAGGTATGCCAGCTGCAAACAAAGCTGCGGTATTTCCGCAACACAAAACGCCATGCAGGAACAAAAATCATATATGCCTAGGTACACACACACATGTACAAAAATGTGTTGACCGCGGGAACGTGTGGCGCACAAAAAGCAACGCACGAAACAACTTCAAAAATGTGTACCGCGAACGTGTGGCTCAAAAACCAATGTCAAAAAGTTACACGAACGCGGGAGTCTGCGGGTGGCGCAGCAGCCAACCAACAATTGCACGTTTCGAGACCAAACGCGGACCGATACCACTGCTGTACGCCAAACCCAGGAAGCACACACACATTTCTCACTTGGATCATTCTTCCGTGCCGAATGAAGTGCTTGGCTCCTGGTCCTCCGCCACGTCCTCCACCACCAGCTGAGAGGCTTGACTGGTGGCGCGTGTTGACTCCTCTGTGGTACTCGTACGTGCAGCTGAGAGCGAGTCAGCAACTGGCTGCTGGTGAGGCGAGGCGGTGGCTGTCATGTTGGCGCCTGTTGCAGTGCCAGCTGCTGCTGCTGTCGTTAGATCAACAGCAGCAGCAGCAGCAGCAGCAGCAGCAGGAGGAGCCGAAGCAGGAGGCGCTTGCGTAGAAGAAGGTTGCTTGGTTTCAAAGAACGAGGTGATCTGCGACGCCTGTGCTGCTGCGGTCGAAGCAGCTGCGGAGGTACTTGCGGCGGCAGTCTGCTCTTCTTCCCGCACGTTCATGTTGTTGGAGGTCTCCATGCGGGGTGTTTTCCCCGCAGGCGGAGGGTGTGTTTTGTGTGATGCCCAAGGGCAGATGCTGCCACCCAGGTGATAAAAAAGGAGGGGCCCCGTGAATACATGCGGCGTAACCTGATTAATCACCGGGGTGTGTCATCTTGTGTATCCCGGGTGATAAATCGATGGTTTGCCAGAAACGCCCAAAATTATCACCGGGGTGTCGTTTTCTGTGGGGGGTGTGTTACCTTATGTCAGGTGGCTTATCTTGTGTCACTGACGGTACTTCGCAGACAAATCGATTGCGACAGATACAACGTCACTTCCAGCCTCACCTTGAGAAGAAATATGAGAGAATACACTCGTATGTTGTCCATGCGCTCCCGCGCCTGGTCTTCCTTGTCACCCCCCCCGCCGCCACGGCCACCTTGACCACCCCTACTGTTGCTACTGCGACTTCGGCCCCTAACCGCCTGCTGCTCTCGCTGCCTCTCCTCGCTGATGAACACCTCGTCGTCGTTGGTGGTGTGCTTCACCATGAGCCATGTTACCAGGGGAATCAGCTCGTGAAGTGCTGTCCCTCTCGCCAGGGTGCCCACGAGCCACCCCAGGCATCCCGCCGCGTCTGCCTGGGCCCACTGGCTGCGCGATCTCAGCATATCGCCGAGTCTGGGATGTCGACGGCACATACAGGGCCAACGACATGTAAAACATATGTCGGGGGGTTCAACAAAATTCTGAGTACTGCACCACTACACTGTGCGAGGATGAGCTGCAGCACGGAAGAGTAGGTACCCAGGCGAGATCAGTTATACAAGCACGAGGCTGGACACAACACAAGGAAAACTAATCAACAGTTTACCGCGCTTTTAATGGGCACGAGAGAATACTGGGGAGGGTGAAGAGAGGGGATGACCCTCCCGCGTCGTGGTTGTTGCCCTTGTGAAGCGCTCCGTGATTACAGGGTCGGAAGAAACATTTTCCCTACATGTGCTCGTTTTTGTGTAGCGCACGAGGCTGCACACAACACAAGGAAAATCAATCAACAGTTCACCGCGCTCTTAATGTGCACGAGAGAATACTGGGGAGGGTGTGGAGAGGGGATGACCCGACGCCAAGTTCACCGAACACAAACCTCAGCGTGGCGGTTGTTGCCTTGTGAAGCGCTGCGTGATTACAGGGTCGGAAGAAACATATTTCTCTACATGTGCTCGTTTTTGTGTGTCGTTGTCCGAACGGTTAGCAGCACAACAACGAAACACCACGGTAAACTCAGCCAACAGTTTGCTGGTACCTGACCACAGCAACCGTGCAACGATTTTTGTTGCTTCTCGCCATCTAATTCAATGACCATTGCTCAAGATGTGGGCTACATACCGCACGGTCTTGTGGTCTAACCGAGGAGGTCCGATATGGGGCCGTCACGCCCTCAGCGGTGCGTGCCTCAAGCCTTGCTTAAAGAGAGGAGGGCCCACCCTATGTTTCTCTCACAGTACGGGTCCAACTGCGTCTGGAAGGTATGCACACGAATTGCGGGGAACAATCTCGCCGACATCCGAAGCCTTGACCTTGTCACTGGAAAGGTTCGGGATATGGTGAGGTCGTCACCTGTCAACCACTGCCGAGCTATTCGGTGCCGCCGAGAAGCCTCTAGCCACCTCCTCGGACATGCACAAGGATGCCAGCGCGTTGGCAGCTTTGCACTGCAGCCTGATGTCAGCGTGTGTTTTCAGCAGCACGTCCTTCACGGCTTCCAGCCCCCTTCGACATTCCGAGACGATGTCGGGAAACGATGTTGGCGATTGAGTACCGGCAGATGTTTTCAAGCTTCTTGACCAACCTTACCAAGATGCGCACTGCAATTTTGTAGTTTATGTGGGGTTAGTTCATAGCCCCGAGAGGCCCGTTAGGGTTGAGCAAAGGTCCCATTTGGAGGAAAACACGAACCCTGAAGGACATGGACCAGTGAGTTGCGCAAAAAACAGCAGGATCCACAAGAAGCCTGGTAGGCAACGTGAAAGCTAGCACAGATGAGTGGACTGCTGACTTTCCAGAACAGGAGTAACGATGGAGTTTGTCGCAAATTCTCGATTTTTCGCGACACAAGCACCCAGTGGGTATAAGAAATACTTTCGCAGTGAAAACCTCCATATTCCATGAATGAACCTAAGTTCTGTTACAGACCACACGCGGGCTACATCCATGTGCAGGTTCCATGTGTAGGCTACTTGTCATGGAGATTGCTGTCTCGCCTCCGTGTGAGGCATCATGCATGTTTCATGTGTAGATATATGTATCTGCGATAATGAAAAACAAAAGGAGCAGCATAATGATACTACATGGACTCGCGTCGAAGGTCACTTGTGTTCTTCAAATGTATTCACTCACCCTGCCTCCGCTACACTGGCTCTAAGCTGTAGACCTTCGTTCGAACAGGGGAGGGCGGCTACTTGGGTGAGGGCGTCTGCGATTGCTTCACGATCGACCCTTCGCCGCAAAGCGCCACATAACAGCGCAATGTTGGGCAACGTTGAGTTTGGCATATTTCAATGCAATGTACAGCGACCCGGAGTCTCTGGCGCAGAGCAGCAGCAGTAGCAGCCCAGACAGCAACAGCAGTCCAACACGGAGCCCACACATCACCAGCAACGCGGCGTAACCTGCCGTGGGGGGGGATGAACAAACCGACACGACACAAACTGAAAGGAGGCATTTTGACGGTACATCAGAGACTTTCCCGCCGCGCTACGTATCCGAGAATTTCACATCTCACACCATCATCATGCCTGAGTTGCCTGAAGTGGAAACGTCTCGTCTCTACGTGGAGGAGTTCTGTCTCGGCAGCACTATCACCAATGTCCATGCGACGGAACAGGGAGGTGGACCGGTGAGCTTTTCACGAGATACCGAATTTGAATTTGAAAGCAAAGCAAACGGAAGGGACCACCAATCGAGGAGGTGTAGACTGCTGCGTGGCGAGACATCTCTCGCGGTTGGCGAGATACGAATGGGTACGTGAAGCACCCCCGGCCGGTGCAGGATACCTCATACGGCCCAACACTTTGATATATATTCCGCATCGTCATACACTCAATCACGCAAGTTTGAGTTCATAGTTGTGAGCGTGAAATCGAACGAGGTTGCTGCCGCAGAAGTCGCGTGCCGGCCGGGTCCTCTGACTCATGTTTCGTCACGAGAGGTGTACATTTTACGCACATACTGAGTATATAAGTATTATTAGGAGAAACAAGTATTATGTTCTGGTTCGTGTGGATACGTCTCCGCATCGCTCTGTTAACACGCGGCAGCGAGACGGCCAATTCGACGATATCGTCATTGGAGAGGACGTGACGGCGAAAAGCTTGAAGGACACTCTTGAGGGGCGCAAAATTGTGGAACTCAGACGTCGCGGGAAGCAGATGTGGTTCGTTCTGGACAAGTGAGTTGCTGGCCACTTGGCCACCTTACATGTCGTGGTGAGCCTGTTGCAGGTCTGTCATTGCTGTACCTTACGCGGGTATCCGTAAATAGAAACAGGTGTTGGTCATGACCACTGCTATGAATCCGCTTATTATCCTGGACTCTAACTTCAGATATAGGATAGAGAGGATTTTCGGTGAGAGAAGTAACTAGACTGCAGTCGTCTAGACTATGCCACGTGTTGCTGTCTTTCGCCTGGGTTTCGGCGTGCAATTCGGGTGACTCGTCTAGACTGCGCCTCTCCCGTTTGTGGTTGCAACCGCTGATGATACCGCTGAAGCATAGGTGTGTCAGTGAAAAATACCTTGGTAGCGAAGTCGATAAAGACAAGCATGGAACCACTTCAATATGGTGTAGCCGCCCCCCACTTCCCCTAGCTATAGTGAGGGGACAATTCGAGAAGGCAGTACACATAAACCCGACCCCCAACCCGTACCCGAACCACCCCTGAAAAATAGAGGCTATGCGACCCCCCCCCCCTCTACCTCCCCCAGACGATGAGGAGGGCACAGTCCAAAGCACAAGCTTACCTAAGGTTGATGCCTATTGGTACGGCATAAATACTCAAGTCCTCCGTTGGGCGGTGGAGAACTTAGACCTAAGACACCCCAAAACTCTCCAGCGTGAGATCCAAAATGGATCAGACGGATGAGGAGGGGGGGGGTGTTCGATGCTTGAAGTGGATCAAACACATAAGAGCCATCAAAGCAAAGCTGATTACTCACGTCGAGCAAGCTGAACGACCAGATCAACCATGCAAAAACTGCGGAGCTAGATGTGCGGCACGCATAATGCATTGTTTTCTGTTGGAGAGAGGCGAGTACAAAGCAGTAAGGAATTGTTGGCCAAACTTTCGGCAGAAAGGTCTACTCGGGAGCGTAAGTGGGAGCAACCCATGGTAGAGCGTACATGAAGAGCTGGACGTTGGTGTACGCTCCATCCTGGCGTGTGAGTAGGATCCTAGGCTATGCAAGTCGTCCCTGAACTTATTGTGGTGAAAATTACCTCCCAGGAGGAAAGTAGCCTGCACCGCGGGACTTCGGAAATGATAAATTGGGTGGTCGGGGGACGTCTGGGTGTTTACTAAGCAGAGCGCCCGGCACAAGACTGGGGTATATGCCAGGAGGTGTGAACTTGGATCTAGACTACGAGCCTATGTTGGAGGCGCTATTTTGGCGCCGGTGAGCCGGCAAAAGAACTGAAAGGAACCACAACCCCCGCCGGAGACTCGGATTGGGAAGGCCGAGTATTCCGTATACCTTCCTGAAAAAACACGAAAAACAAGTGGCCACGGTCCAGTTGCCGCAGAGATCATGAGGATGGTGAAGAAGCCGGGAGGATGGAAGCAGAAACTGTGGAAGGAACAAGTTGGAGCTGCTGTTGTTTGGGATTCCAAGGGACATGACGAGGGTAGAATTTAAGACGTGTTGTGACAGGGAGGGACTGCACCGCCTAGCAAGGGGACAAGTAGGCAGAGAGCATGAACACTTGCGGGTGAAATTGACCAAGGGAGACAGCCAAGAGTGCTTGGGGGTTGACATCGAGAAGCTGTCGAACTACGTAGGGAAGTTTGGATGGGGGGTTTGCATCGCGAACATGATAGAAACAGCCAAGGTAAGGAAACATGAGAGGAGGGCGATGGAGGCGAAGAAGGGACCAAGCGGGGAAGGCGAGCAGGCAAGTCAGAAGAAGTCCGAGAAGAAGCGGAAGGCGAACGATGGTGTGCGCAAAATCTCCAATAGGGAAAAGCGCAAGCTGAGAGTCGGGTCGTGGAACGTGTGCGGGTTCGCAAGGAGTGAGCGCAAGCGGTTGGAAATAGTGGACCAAGTAGAACAAAGCGATCTAGATGTAGTGGGGATCCAAGAGACGTGGGAATTGAAGGATGGGGACGTGGTAAGCAAACTAGGGAAATACCGGTGGGTAGGGAAGGCAAGAAAGGGCTTAGACCCGAAGAAAAGGGGGGAGGGGGTAGTCGGATTCCTGGTCAAGGAACACTTGTTTGACGTGGTGGAAGTAGTGGTGAAAACGGAGTTCGAGGAAAGCCTATGGCTTAAGATATCTGGGGAGCGGGGTGAGAAAGATTTGTTTCTAGGGAACGTATACGTCCCACCGTCGTCGAAGAAAGTCGCAAGC